AAACAAGCTCCAAGATGTTGGAACGAACGCTTTGCTGAATTCTTGAAAAGAGACATTTCAAACAAAGCGATGCCGATACTTGTTTGTTCATTAGAATACAGGGAGGAATGAAACTCATACTTGCAATGTATGTTGATGATGGACTAGTTGCAGGAATCGATAAAGAAGAACTAAAAGTTTTTGAAAAAGAATTAAAGTCAGAGTTCAAGATAACATCCAAACCTGCAACATATTTCCTTGGATTAGAAATTAATCAAGATGAGAAGGGAAATATTAAAGTCAGTCAGTCATCGTATACAAGAATGATTCTTGAAAAGTTTGGGATGAGTCAGTGTAAATCCTGTACAACTCCGATTACAAAATTTGAAGAGTTTGATGAAAACAAAAATGAACACGAAGAAGTGAAATTTCCTTACAGATCAGCAGTTAATGCATTGATGTACTTGATGACGGGAACAAGACCTGATATTGCATATGCAGTTGGAGTAGCATCCAGAAGTTTGGAGAAACCCAGCAAGTCCAATGTTGCACAAGTCAAACAAATTTTCAGATATTTGCAAGGCACAACTGATGTCGGTATTGTTTACAAGTCTGGTCAAAACAATACACTTATAGCCTACAGTGATGCAGATCATGGAGGAGATAAATCTAGTGGAAGATCGACATCAGGTGTAATTTGTATGTTTGGAGGAAGCGTGGTCAGTTGGTTTAGCCAACGTCAACCATCAGTCAGTTACGATTTCAACTACCGAAGCAAAAATGGTTGCCGCAGGTAAAGCAGCTCATGAAGTGATATGGCTCAAACGATTGTTGAACGACATTGTAGATCTAAAGAAAAAGCCAGAAATTTTGTAGACAATGAAGCAGCAATTCGTTTAGCACACAATTCAGAACTTCACAGAAGAACAAAGCATATCCACATTAGACATTTCTTTGTCAGAAAAAAAGTTGCAGAAGAAGAAGTTTCAGTTGAACGAGTTGCGACAGAACTTCAAGTTGCTGATGCTCTGACAAAACCAATGGTTGGACCAAGACTAAAGAATCTAATGTTTTAAATAAAATGAGAAGGTGTTGAGTTTTATGTTTTATATTAAAACATGATTTATGATATACATTTATTTTCTTTGGACCAAATGTTCTTTGCTTTGTATGTAACTTCACTTTTTCCTTCTTTCTGATCCGGTTGATAATAAACAAGTCAAGAACGTTGCTTAGTTTTTTTCTTTTCTTTTAATGTTTTTCAATATTATATCAATTAATTAAACGATCTACGTGACAAGAAATTTAACAGTTTATTCCTCTGAACTTTTTTCTATTAGCAGCACAGTTGCTTGCTAATCGTACAGTGCTGCTAATCGCGCTAGATATTACCGTGAATGTGTAAAAAATTTAAATCGAAAGAACGAGAACTAATTTAAAACAATCAAATTTACATTCGCCCACTATTTATTCAAAATTTGTAAATTCTTCATTTTTAAATTTTTAATAATTTTATAAAGAAGGTGTCCAAGTCTAATAAAAATTTTCCGTCATTTGAAAATTGATATAGACTCCTTGATACATTTTCCGACTCCGAGCACCGGACTTCGCAATATTCTTTATTTTGCCTTCCCGGTAGTTAAGTTACCGCATTTTGTTGTATATTTATTACATGGTTCTTTTAGTTTATTTAAGTGCTTCTGCAATTTTATGTTGAAAAAGTATTCTTATTGCGATACGGTATCTTTTTGTTATTGTTGAATATTTCTTTAGTAAATTGTTATACTGTGATTATCGATTAAATGATTTTGTATTGAAAGTGTATACATAGTTAATCTTCGTGTCCATGTAGTTACTTATGGAAACTTTAAATAAACAAGAGTACAAAAAACTACGCAGCGTTGAGATTCTTATTAAAAAGCTATTAAACGCAGGGTTGGTATACAAGTTCAATGACATGCATAAAAGAAAGCTTCGTTTCAAACTATATATATATATATATATATATATATATATATATATATATATATATATTCAAATTAAACTTACCTTTTAAATTATTCAAATTGATTCTGTTTAAAACCTGTTCAACTATTAAAATTATAAAAAAAAAATGTTGAAAATATTAATACTCTCAATTTATAACAACAAAATCAACTGAAATTCAAACGAAATAACAATGTTTAAACGCCGAAACATGGTGTTGAACTACAACAGCTCCAAGATCTGATAATCTCTTCAACCTCTGGCTGATAAAACGGCGATCTATAATAATGTCTAAAGGATATTGTAGCCTGTTTTTCACAGCTTACATTTGTTTGTGCTTATTTCCAGTCTTTATTCGTTAGACCAACTTATTAATTTTCCAACATTAATTTGTTTTAATAAATCTAAACACTCTATTACTATTCCTCCTATTATCTTACATGATTCTAAAATTTTTGATGTTTTTCACAAGTTTCATAGTCTATGGTTTAACTTTGATTCTAGTACGTATCTTTTTTCTCAAATTAATAGTGTTGCTAGAAGTTCTTACCTTCATCTACGTGGAATAAAAAAACTTTTGTCTTTTCTTGACGATCCCACTCTTCTCCTTGTTACTTCGTTGGTCTTATCTAGGATTGTTATATATTAATATTATTATTATTATGTTATTCACTCTATTGACATTCCTCAGAGGATAGTACTGTGATTAAATGCTTTGTTGAACAAATAACTTTTTAACTCTCTTCTGAAATCTTTTTCTAGAACAATTTGCATTAATCTTGTTGGAAGATTATTCCATACCATTCCATACCACACATTTGTCACCCAGTTTTTTCATGGTACTAGGAATTTCCATCATTTCTGACAAAACCGAACGCAAGGCATGTCCCACATCAACTTAAGTGCTTTTGCGAAAAACCTCCTTCAGATATTCTGGGCCATCACCATTTACGCAACCATGAGCCAGCACGGCCATCTTAACCGTTACCTGATCGGTAGCCAGAGGAGACTTTCCAACCACTTTGTAATGTGATTACGTCTACTTAGACCAATGACCAATCTGGCGGCAGCATTCTGGATTCGTTGAACTTTATTTACTACCCCTACACCAGCACCATTGGTATTGCAATAGTCTAATCTAAACAGTACAAAACTCACCACCAGGTTAGTAAAAATATCAACTGGAAGACATTTCTTGAAGAAAGCAGATAGCATTGAGTTTCGCGACCTGCGGCAACATCGATAATATCGGACCCAGTACCGATCCCTGTGGTACACCCGTTTGCATTTCCATCTTACAGACACCAACCTACCAAAACTTACTTTTTGTGCACGACCCGTCAAATATGAAGCGAACCAATCAAGCACCACACCACCAATACCAAATGAGACCGATAATCTTTTTAAAAGCACCGCATGATCAACCGAGTCAAATGCAGAACTGAGATTCAAAAGCGCCAACAATACCACATTACCATTATCAACTTGCTTTACTATATCACCAAATACCTTTAGGAGAGCAGTTTCTGTAGATGAACCAGGTCTGTAAGCCGACTGAACCGACGGCAAGAGTCTATGGGTAGATAAATGACCCAGTAAACGAGTCAGCATTAGACGTTCAAAAACCTTTGAAACAAAATGTAGATTATAGACAGGTCTATAATTATTGCTTTCGTTTTTATCCAAACCATTTTTCTATTGTAACTCGCTCTACTATTGTCTTTCTGATTCTACACTCTATCCTTTAAGTAAAGCTTTTAACTCTGCTGCTTGTCTAGTTGCTCGTTCTTCTTTCTTTTCTCATATAACTCCAGATATTGTTCTCTTGCGCTGGCTACCTATAAAATATAGAATAATTTTTTAAATTTGCACATTTATGTATATGTCTCAATCTAAATTATTTCCTAAGTATTTATCAGATATATTAATTGAACCTAAACGCCACGGTTTACGATCGTCTTCTTGTTCTTACTTCTTAACTCGTGTTAAACACTCTTTTGTTAAATCTGCTTTTGCTTTTTCTAGCCCTTTTTTCTGGAACTCTCTACCTCTTTTTCTGACTACTTCTCCATCATTTACGAAGTTCGGAGCGGATCTCAAGACCCATCTGTTTGCAAAATTCATTGAGGAGCGCTGTTGGACATCGCGGAAAAAGCTCTTTATAAATTAATTGATTGATTGATATATAAGAAAAATTATTTAAATCAAAACATACCAAAAAATTAAGCGATTTTCAAATTTCAACATTCAACTTAATCAACCAAAATAATATTTTCAACCGAAGGTTTTCTTAAAAAATTTTTCAAGTGAGGTTTTTAATTTATTTTTATGCTATTACAAGCATTTTAAGTTTGAATTCCTTTTCAGTCAACATGTTCCCGACACGGTTTCTTGGTGCACCTGTTTTAAGAGTAGCCGGAAAAAAGCGCACAAGTCGAATGCGCTTCTTCTGTGCGCGTTTATTTAGATGTCGAATTTTCCTTTATTTACTTATTTTGATGTACATTTTTTTCGATGTGCGCTTTTTCTCGAGAGCAAATATGTTTATGCGCTTTTTTTCCTATGTGTCTTCTGATGCACTTTTGTCAAAGAATCGTTTTAAGACTGAGATGATTTATGAAAAAACGAAAAAAATATCATATATATCTGTTTTTATGAGCATTTAAAAAGTATTTACGTTGATTTATTCGATTTAAAAAATATTAACTTGAAGAATATTTGTGCACCTATGAAAGATAATTTCAAAATTACAGAAGGGGCGGATATAGATAACATTTCAAATTTGTCGAGGGGCCAAAAACTTCCAAATTGTTTCTGGTGTGGCTTGAAAATTAAGCTTGCTACCTTTTTGCCCCCGCCCCCTTTAAATCCGCCACTGTACAGAAGGGACAATTTTTTACTTTTTGTACAAAATTTTGTACGTTGATGTAAACCATGTTTGGTATATCACTTTGTTTTAGTTAAAAATTTATAACTTACTAAACATAAAAAAAATATTTATTTAACTTTTTGCAAAGGTTACAATTAGCTACAAAATGAAATCCCGTCAAGAGTCGCCGAAAAGTCGCTTTTCACCTAATTATCACAAGTCAAAATCCAAAAAATTGTTTAAAGTGGCAAACAAAAAATTAAAAAGCAATGGAAATAATAATGTCAAACGATCGCTATCGCAATCAAAAAGTTTCTCCTTCGGTACGTTGATGGATAATTTAGTGCAACATAAAACGCTCAAATACAGAATGTCAAATAAACTGAAAAAATTTCTTGATCATTCAAATCCGTTGATGGACCAGGGCTCAAATATATCAGAAAATTTAAACAAAAAAGTGCAGTTTATCGACTCCCAAGCGGAAGAAAATTTTAGTCGCAATAGTAAATGTGAAAAAGTATATGAAAAATTGAATGGACGTGCGTGCGAATCCGAAAATTACGACGACTTATTTAATGAGCTTGAACTGAGCGCAATTGAAAAAACCATCCAATTTGATGAAAGCATCCGAGTAGAAACGATGAAAAATGTAGATAATGACAATACTCAAAAATATTTTGAGGTAGAAAAGTGATTTCAAGGTGGAAAAGACGATGTAGGGTACATTTTTCTGTCCAACAAGATAAATTGCTAACACTTAAAAAACGTAAACTAATTCAACGCCGATAAACAAATTCCATCTCTATGTTAATTATTAAAATTGTAAAGGCAAAGTTAACCCGAAATGCTTAATTGTTTTAAAAACAAATTTAATAAGAAAAAATGTTAAAATGTCTCAAAAACAAGTGTCACTATATGCTGTTAAATAAATTAGGTAATCAGCTCAGACGGTACGATGCCAGGCCTCACGTCTGCGTGCTGACCTGGTCCGGATTTTTTGGTATTTAAAGCTTTCTGTGTAAATTGCACTGTGTCGGATGAAAACTATCCGACTCTTCAAAAAAATCCAACTTCCGACTCCGGCCCCTCAAAAAAATCCGACTAGGGTAAAGATTTCGGAATTCAAAAAAAATTTCAACTTTTGCATTATTTATAATTAATAAGGTGAAATTATTTTACTACTAAATCAAAAACACTTAAAATCAGTCTCTGTAATCGTTTTTCACAGTAAAATTACTTTATTTTTGTGTTTTAAACATACTGAAAGTACATCAACTTTTGTATCATAATTTCACCTTATTATCTCTACTAAATAAAAACTACTTTAAAAAACACTTGAAATCACTCAATTTAAATGTTTTTCTTAGGAAAATTACTTTATTCTCATGTTCGACAATATACTGAAAAAAATTGTGATTTTATTTATATTATTAGCCTTTATTTTCAGTTTTAAAGATGATTGCTTATTATTGCTACATATAATTTATCCTCTAAAAACACAATATCAAAAAATTATCCTTTTTAAAAATATATAACATTTTCTGGAGTCGAATAAAAAAACCCGGCTTCTAAAAAAAATCGATTAAAAAATTCCTTTTCCGGCAAAAATCCCATCGTAGTAAATTGTCGAGTTTATACGAACAGACATAAGTTGTGAGTACCCTTTTTTGTCACAAAAATAAATGAAAAACAAAATAACAAAGTATTTTCGCAAAAATAAACGAAAAATAATATTATTTTATCACTGCGTGTCATTTTATGACAAATTTAGAGGATATTTTTATTTTAAATAATTTGTTAAACGTCTGAACTAAAGATTAGTTTCATCATCTTATAGGGAGTGAGTCAAATAGTGAGCATTTAGACCAGAAATGCCCTATCACATTTTCTCCATTAAACAGTCTACCTACTCGAAACAAGAGCAGCGATGGTGTCACATTCATATATTAGGGGAAAAGCTTACGTAACCCTTACGAAACAGCATATGAGTAATTATTAAGGGCGATCTGCGAGAGCCGATACAATAAAGAGCGGCAAAATTATGTAACTGCTGCAGACTGCGTACGCGATGATGCGCTGTCGCTGATACTTCTGGGAATCGAGTCGACAGAATTATAACATTAAAAACGTTAAACGTAAGCGATACAACCATGCCTGCCTATCACTTAAAAGACATTAGACATTATTATCTTGAAACTGTCTATTCGCATATACCTTTTCTCCGAGATGCCTATGCATTAGAATGCAGAGACGCATCCAGTGAATTTGGCTGAATACAAAAAATCCAAAATTTTGAAGTTTGATTTTTTAAATGAAAACAAGCTATTGAAAAAAAACATGCGATTTATGACAATCGCTTATATGGAAATTGCACTATTTGGCCTTTCAAAATGGCGGAAGCCGAAGTCAAATTCTGGCCAAATTCAAAGCGTCTTTACCAGAATTCACATAATTGTTACTCAATACTCAGTGTGTTGCACTCTACGAATAGCATTACGAAAATATCCTACGTAAACCAACGACGCTTTTATTATTCAAACCATAATTTTTTATCAACAAATCCAAAAACAAAATACAAAATAAAATAAAGGCATCGAACATTAATTGATGGAACCAACAAAAATCGTTATACATAATTGAAAGTTCACAAAAATGTCGACGATAAGAACTGGTGCAAGCACTGTGAAAAAATTAGATTAGTTTAAAATAGGATTATGAATATACAAATAAATTTGATAATTACATAAAATATTTGAACTTGTCAACTTATAAACTAAAAATCTTTTTTATTTTATTTAGCATAAAAAAGACAGGTATATTTTCAAAAGAAATTTCAAGTCTAGGCAATCCAATACAGCTATTTATTAAAATCTTAACATTTCACAAAACCTGGTTTATCATCACCTTATTAGTTTACCACTGTCCACTTTTGTTCGAAGCAAACAACCTTTATAGGTCTGTCATTGTTTTTTTTAAATTATTCCACTGTTAACTTCGAAAATTTTTTTATCGAGTTTCTCACACTGCCAAAAATTGAGTTTACAAAAAAATTGCGTTCTCCAATCCAGCCCAATTTAGCAATTAACATGCCTGCCCATTATCATTCATCATCACCGATTTGCTTACATGTTAGTCTACGATAAAAACAAAGGATTGAAACATTAGGAACTAAATCGATACGAAGATGTGCACAAAAAATGATTTTGCAACAAACCTTCCTTTCCCAGTTTATTTATAATTATAAATTTAAAACAAAATTTTTTCATCAACAATTACTTTTTAGTCAAGATTCTTGCCTATTATACGCTAAAGTGCGTTATTTCGTTCATAAGTAGATGTACGCACGTTACGCACTTGAGAAAAGAAAGATAGCTTGCGTTTCTGCGCAGCCGCATGACTGCAGCGCTACATAAACATGTGTAATAAAGCAGATTTCAAGTCGTAAAGAAATTTGTTCAAGTGAAATTTGAATATACCTATTATTTCAAATATCAATCTTGACAAGAAATGTCATGAAATAAGTGTGACATAGACTCTTGATTCTGTATTCTGCGTATGGCTTCAGACAACATACTGCTTATATCGACTGTTTTAATTTTGTGACATTGCATTTTTTGTACTTCATGGGGCACCGTGTTTGTAACAACAACCTGAAAAAATTAAATATATTTGATCAAAATAATTAGAGTGAAAACTTGAAAAAATTTAAGTGTTTAATATTAGTAAAATAAATTTCTATTAAAAGTTCATGTGCTATTTTTAAACAAGCAAATTTTAAGTTTTTGCAATCATAATTAATCTTGATATATATTAATACATACAATGAGCATATAAGAGATTATAAAGACTTCAGATGCAGACTTAAGGGGTCTTGTGGCTGAGTGGTTAGCGTGTCTGTCTACCACTCCCACGACCCGGGTTCGAATTCTGCAGTTTCTACAGGTTCATCCGGGTAGCCGACTCCCGGTCAACCTAGCCGTCCATCCTTTCGGGGTTGGTAAATGGGTAGACGACGTAAGTTGTCGCATGCTGGCCGGCGAGATGGCTCAGTGGTTCAAATGCGCGCTGAGTCAAACATCTCAATGGCTATCATATACTCAGCGTATATGAAGCGGTGCTTGCGCGTGCACATAAATACATGTGTACGTCGTGTGAAAAGGATAATCAGTCTTTGTGGCGAAAGATGGCTGCTTCATACCATTGGTTGAAGAATGAAGATATTGAGAACATAATAAAGATATATAAATGATATATCTGTAACATTGTAAGTGGTTCAGCGTATGTCAGTGCTGCAATAATTAAAGACTAATAAAAAAAAAGATCAAAAACGATTAGTAATAGATTATAATAATTATATATATATATACACATATTTTTACATACATTATATATATATATAAATATATTGGAATAAGACTGTCAGAAATGCAATTATTGGGGAAAATCACAGCATGTTCGGCGTTAGTTAACTTCCTGTTCAACTTTTCGATTTTTTAACGGTTGATCGTAAATTATTTTCAAGTTTCTTGAGTTCAAAACCAAAATTTTTGTTTATTTAATGCATGATAGAACAGAAAAGCTTTTTTCGGTATTCCTACCATCTTCGGTATTCAAATTGATATGTTGTGGATGTGCCCAGATGACCAAATATGCTCATTGCACAGTATATATATATGTTGGTAATAGACCATAATTTTTACAATATTCTATAAATTCTACCGAATGTTTGGCGTTAATATGTTTGTAGTTCGTTTTTTCGATTTTTTTCACTAAAGTTTTTTGGTGAAAGTTTAATTTATTAAAATTCAAAATAAACTTGTTTTTAGAATTCATGCTGCAAATAAGGCCATATTTCGATTCCGAAGATGATTCATTCAAACAACGTAATATGACCAGAAATAAACAAAACACTATATAACATAATTATCAAAAAGAGATGTTGCAAAACTGAAATTGTTCAATTTACTTTAACATGAAAATCTCTAAAATTAAAGTTCTGATCAATTAAACTATAATTTTAATGTTCTTAATATAAAAATCAAAGTGTCATGAAAACACATTGATGAAATATAAATGATATTTAACATAAACTTTAGTTTTATATATTTAATTAAACAGCATAAAAATATCCAAAATTTAATAGTATAATTATTGATTTCTTAAACTTAATTAAGCTAGACAATAATTTTATATTAGAAGATAAGGAGGACCATAATTTAATACCATAAATAAATAAAGAATTAGAGAGCAGATCAGTTCTTACAGTTGGAACATAAAATTCAGGGGTATGTCTAGTTTGTCTCTTAACAATTGAGCTAGCTTTAATAATAAATTTATGGAAATAACTATACATTTTTAACTTAACCATTTTATAAATAAATATTAAGATTCTTAAAATGTACAAATAATTAATTGATAAAATACCAGATTTTTTGAAAAAATAAGTTATATGATCAAACATATGAAGATTATATATTATTCTTATAAAATAATTTTGACACCTAGTAAGGATTATTATATGTGATTTTGTATTTTTACCCCGAACGATGATGCAATAAATAAAATAAGGATAAATTAATGTAAAATAATAAAATTTTTTGTGGAAATGTTTGTCTTAGTTTATTTATAACACCAAGCCCCCTAGAAATTTTCTTTGAAATATCCAGAATAAAGTTCCTTCCAATTCAAATTACTTGAGAGTGTTACAACCGAGAATTTTATCGAATGAACTCTAGGGATTAAGTTATCATCAATAAAAATTTCAAAATTTATCAGGTTAGTAACAATAGATGGACCAAACAAAATACATTTGATCTTTGATAAATTTATCTTCAATTGATTGAATTTCATCCATTCTAACTAATTCCTCATTTAACGCTTGAGTTAACTCGATTATAGATTTACCATTCAACAAAATCGTATCATCTGCATATAATATGAATTTTAAGCGTGATGATGAATTCGTTAGATCATTTAAAAAAATGTTAAATAAAAGTGGTCCCAAGATGGAACCTTGTGGAACACCACATTTGATGGAACGAAGCGAAAAAACAGAATCACCCATTGAAACATATTGTGTACTGTTACTTAAGTAACTTACAAACCATTCATAAGTGGAACCTCTAATACCAACATTAAGAAGTTTCTTTAACAATAAGTCATGTCTTACAGTATCAAACGCTTTAGATATGTCCACAAACACTCCAATAGCCAAATCCTTAGATTCAATACTATTCAAAACATATTGATTTAAATCCAATATAGCTAATTCAGTAGAACAATTTTTACGGAAACCATATTGTCTATCACTAATTAAATTAAAATTATTTAAAAAATTGGATAAACGATGCTGGACAACTTTCTCCATAATTTTAGAAAAAGTAGAGATTATGGATATAGGTCTATAATTATTTATTAAATCACGAGAACCAGATTTATATAAAGGGATGACTTTTGACGTCTTCAAACAATTTGGAAAAATACCCTTCTGCAAAGAGAGGTTAATACAATGGGTTAAAGGTTTAAGAATTGATAATATCGTTTGTTTACCCAAAAAATTTGAGGAGTAATCGTCAGCCTGTGAGTGAGAATTACTAAGCCCTTTCACAATCCGTTGTATTTCAATTTCTAAAACCTCAGGCGTGAAAAATGTATGAGGATTTGAATGTGGCAAAAAAGTGTATATCTCGTCAGAACCTACATTATTAAGAACAGAGTTAAAATGAGAAGTAAAAAACGCATTAAAGGATTCACAAATTTCTGTTTTATCATCAATTATTTATCATTAACTTTAATTAAATTAGGAAATTTAATTAAATTAGTTTTATTAATAGATTTATTAATTAAAAACCAAGTGAGTTTTAAATTATTTTTGTTTTTTTTTTTCAAATTATTAATTATAAACTTTTCTTCTGCTAGACGTTTTAAGTGTGTGAAAAGATTTCTATACTTAGTATAAATTTGTTTATTTAAGGTAGTAGGGTGAGATAAAAATTTTGAGTACTTATTTTTTGCAGAGATTAAAAGACCTCGGGTTAACCAAGGATGTCGTTTTACTTTACTATTTGGATTCATGATAGGGCGTTTGCAAGACATTATAACGAAATATATCAACAAAAACTGAAAAAGCCGAATCTACATCATTATTACATAAAACTGGTTCCCAATTTTGAAAAGCTAATGCCTTAACAAGACAATTAATATTTTTCTTAGAAAAATTACGAGTAATAAATTGGTTATCATTTATAGGACCAATCGACTATTCTTGACTAAAAGTAAAAATGGGAAGATGGTCAGAAATATCTGAAATGATTATACCTGAAAAATGATTTGAAAAATGATTAGTGAGTATATTATCAATTAATGTTGAAGAATATTCTGTTATTCTTGTTGGTTTATTTATCAAAGGTAAAAAATTAATAGCACTAAAGGCATTTAAAAAATTAGAACAATAGTTGTGACAATCATCACCCAAAAGATTAATGTTAAAATCCCCAGTAATATAAATATGCTTTGAACGGGATTTCAATTGAGATTCATTAACTACTGAAACTAAATTATCAATAAATAAATTAGGGTCCTTATTTGGTGAATGATAAACAACAAAAATAATAATATTATGTGAATGATTTAAGATCAATTCAATAGCCATATATTCAAAATGCTCAGACTTTGGACACAAATCATCTCTAATCAAATAATTTAAACCATCCCTAATGAAAAATCCCACTCCCCCACCACGGGATTTAGAATCTCTATTTTTATAAATAAAAGTAAAATTAGGAATTTTAACAAGGTCAGCATTGTTATTGTCAAGCCAGGTCTCAGTTATAGCAAGAATGTTAAAAGCAACACCAAGGTTAGATAATAAAATAGATATATCGTTTACCTTATTAAGAATACTGCGAGCATTAAAATAAAATAGATTAAAATTAAATGAAGAAATTAAGTGTTTTTTTAAATCAAAAGCATTATAATAATTTGAAAAATTATTAAATAAAGTAAAAAATTTGTTAAACTCATCATTTAAATTAGAGAGTTCATTTAATTTATAGCTGTGATCCATGATTTGGCTTGAGGATAGGATTCTTGTTTTTAGAATAGTTGTAATCCCATTCGTGAAGAAAAGTATATTTAGGCCAGATTTCTGGGTTTACTAACTTGCTGCATTCAACCTTTGGAAGAATAATCTTGAAGGCTGTTGATTCAATTTGAGGTTCTTTGTTGGTATTATTAATATTTATATCATCGGAGTTACGTCTTCGGAAAACTGGGAAACAGTGGTTGAATGAAATATTATTACTTTTCAAAAATTCTTCAATAACTTCCTTTTTACAGAATTCCACGTTGCCCACATAGTATGTCATTTTCTTCTCAATGATTTTTGATGAGAACAATTATATATATATATATATATATATATATGATATATATATATATATATCAGATATATGATATATATATATATATATCAGCATCTTTGGCCACATACACAACGTATCAATTCGAACATCGAAGATGGTACAGATATACCGAAAATAGCTTTCTTACGATCAACCGTTAGAAAAATCGAAAAGTTGAACAGGAAGTTAACTAACGCCGAACATGCTGTGATTTTCCTCAATAATTGCATTTCTGACAGTCTTCTTAT